AAAATCCTCTGCTGTGGAGCTTGTCTCTGCAGTAACTGTGTGGACACCAGCTCTGTATATTTGAGTCCCTACCACAGTGTCCATGAGGCATTAGGCTCCTCATAATAAAGGAACTGAATTGTTCTGGGACGAAAGTACAAGCAAGACTGACTGGGGGTTATATTTCCTACTTGGGTGTTCACATTCCTAAGGAGACAGATGTGCATGTGTGGAGCACACTCCCTTCAGCATCCTACACACACACACACACACACACACACACACACACACACACATGTGCACACAGAGGCAGTCTCCTTGGTTCTCCCCTGTCCCTGAGGGAGACCTGAGTTCCTGCCCTTCACTTCCCGCCTGCAGACAGGTCAGCCCCTCCTACCTTTTCCCCTGGGCTCCCTGCAGGTCTCTTGTTCTTCTGTTCACTTTGAGCAACATGGGGTGGCCTGGAGGGGCTCCAGCTGCCATTGAAGAGGCTGAGAAGTACTGGGCAAGGCCTGGTCTGAGGACCCCAGCGGCCAGGAAGGCCTCTCTGAGGTTGACTTTGGTCGTTCTCTGGAACCCCCTTTCTTTAGTTTGATGAGTTTGAGTAAGAAATTGGCTCCAATCCAGTGCTTTTCCTGTAAGAGGTAGGTTTTTAGGACACAGCCAACCCTCACTGCCCCTCCAGCAGGTGTCTGGGTGCCCTACGAGAGCTGGAATTTCCATCACCAGCCTGTAAAGGTGGTGGTTAATCTGGTTCAGAAAGCAGGTACTCTTCACCGTCACCATGCTCACCCCACCTGGGGCTCAGGAGATGGCACACAATGTGCAGTTAATTCGCACAGACCCAGGGGTGGTAGAAGCCTTCATCGTACAGGAACCCACACTGGCCACTCGGGAGAACAGAATTTCAAACCCTGCTTTCAGCTCTTAATTACTGTGCCAAGTGCAGGAAGTGGTGCTATACTAACCTAATCATGCTGGTTGGCAAAATTCCACCAAAATGCCATTTTTAGAAAGAATCAGGGACATCCTCACCTTCTGCTAGAGTTAATAATACGTGAAATAGGCTGGCATATTCTGCCTACTCCCGGCACTGAGGAATCTGGGTGAGGGGAAGAGGGCAGGAGAGTGGACCCCTTCAAGTAAAAACAGTGAGCCCTGGATGAGTTACCCAGTGGTTGGAGCATCAGCCTGAGCACTGAAAGGTGGTGGGTTCCATCCCCCGTCAAGGGCACATACCTGGTTTGCAGGTTCGATCCCCGGCCCCGGTCGAGGTGTGTGCAGATGGAAACCAATTGATGGGTCTCTCTCATCTCTCTCTCTCTCTCTCCCCCCTCTCTCTTTCACTCTCTCTCTCTCTCCCTCCCACCGCTGTCACCTCACTCCCTCCCTTCTACTCTCTCTAAAAATCAATGGGAAAAATATCCTCAGATGAGGATTAGAAAAGTAAGTAAATAAATGAAAACTGTGAATGTAAAAGGTAATTCATTCCAGCTAACAGGAAATGAAGCATTCTAATGTAACAGGGACCATAGCTGCGTTCTGGTCCTGGCTCTGCCACGAAATAGCACTGTGCTTACACAAGCCACTCAATTTCCTCATCAGTGCCTCAATTTCCCTGTCAACAGGAGGGTCAGGCAGAGGATCTGAAATTCTGTGGTTCTGTGATTTCTACAGATAGGCCCTGCTGGATTCATGGTGATTTAACCTCAAGGCTGGGCTGGGACAGGATAATGGGAAGGCCCAGCTCCTGGGCTCAGGCCTGGGCAAAGGGGGAGCCCCGCTGGACGGAGGCCGGCAGTCTTAGGGTCAAATCGGCCCACCACCGGGGCTGCTGCTCTCTGGGGAAGGGAATGTGTTTGTGAACTTGCCCTGGACTGGGGTCAGGTCCAGTGAACCCAGAGGAATGGAGGGCAGAACAAAAGTTTCCTGTGCTTGAAGACAGGGGTGCTGGTCCAGGCATCTGACCCAAGCTTCCTTCCCAAAACAGAAACCTGGTTTTCTAAGTCCCGCAAACTTAAGACAAATGCTGATACACCTGCTTTAGTGGCTCTAAAAGCACAGACTCTCTGCCCTTAAACAGACTCCTGGCCAGCTGGCATTCACCATCCCTCATAGGATAACCCTGAGTACTGAGGGCAGGATGGAAAGAAACTCTAAATTCGTTCCCTGCTGGGAGGGACCTGCACACAGGGACCTGCCATACAGCAGAAGGTACGGGTCCAACAAACTGGCAACTGCTCTAGATGCTACAGCTTCCCCAGCTCATGAAAAAGCAAACTTTCTGTCCTGTGTGTAAGCTACTGACACTTAAATCAACTCACTTCTTTGGCGCTGGATCATGGAACTTGCGCTGAGCCATGCTTTTTTCTTCCAGTGTTTCATTTTGTCTCTGTAAGGCGTTTAATTTGTCTCTAACAGAGGAGAGAGAAAAACAATCTGGTTTTTAAAATAAAAGACATAAATTGACTTAACACCCCACCTGGGACCTGGCCCAGAAGGAGCCTGTGTGTTTCTGGGACTCAGACATCACGGTGCTCATGACCACCATGACCCCTGAGTTGGGAATATGGGGATGGAAGCATGTGACATGGGTCCAGGAGCCTAACACGTCCAGGAGACGGCTGAACACCTAGGGTCAGGCTGTACGTCACCTCAGGAGAGAGACCCCGAACCATCTGACACTCAAGCTGGGATACCCCGAGGGTTCCGGCCAGGTCAGCTCAGGACGCTGGGCACTCGGGTCAGACCCAGGGCTAGGCTAGCTCCTGCAGGTGCAGACCAACAATAGCTTTAGTGGTGGGAGGACTTTAGTCTGCCCTCGCTGAGTTAGACAGGCATCAGGTTAAAAAGGTCAGTTTAGCAAAGTCATCCCTCCAACCTGGACCCACTCCAATGTTGGACTTCTGCTAACACTTCTAGTGAAGCAAACTCAAAGCCTTTTGGGAGCCAGACAGAGAAGATAAGGAGCAAAGCGGCCTGGAAGGACCTGAGGGAGGAGTGGGGGCTGCGGCGAGGCTGAGCGCTCGGTGCAACCTGGGACCTAACACGGGGCCTGCAAATGGAGGGCCGCTCTCCATGTGGCGGAGCTTCTGACTGTTTTTCCCAAAGGAACCAGAAGCCCCGGCTCTGAAGCAAAATCTTTTAATTTCTAAATGTGGGAAGTCAGTTCACATTTTTAAAAACACACAAAGGAGCCTCTTAAACCTTGGGCTGCCAGAGGGCACCCCTGCTCCTGGAAGAGGGAGCCTGGCTTTCCTGAAGCAGAAGACATGGCATGCTTTCCTGTTGTCTGTCTAGGAGCCATGCACGCAGTGCTCGCTATACAGCTCCCCCCACTGGGCCGCTGGCTCCTGTCCTGTTCCTGCCTCTCCTCACCCATGTGGCCTTGATAGCTCAGACCCCTGCTGTCCCTGCTTGAAAATGAGTCCTCGGCATCCAGACAGCTGCTCAGGCTCCTTCAGTCAAGAAGGTGCCCAGGCCCCTCCTAATATGAGGGCTTTTCCCTGAGTTCACCGCATAGTGAGCACCCGTGAGAAGTGATTGCTTGCAAACTACTGGGTCCCTGGCCACAGACCTGCTCTGCTCCCAGCACCCTCGGCTCGGCCTCTGTTCTTCTAGTCTGTGTTATTCTGTTCCCACAGCCGTCCCCCAGCCCCGCAAACTCATGGCCCAGCTATCCCAGGGCTGGGGATGACTCTGCTTGGAACAGGCTCAGGAAGCCTGCCCACTCCCTGGCCTCCTGCTGACACTTTCTAATGCAAAACCCTCATCAGATCATCCCCAGGGTACCAGGTCCCCACTCTTCTAGTTTGCACCTGCCCAACCTCTGCTGGTAATTTTTAGCAGCTGCATTATAGAGAGCCCACTTCAGGCTACAAACTCTCATCTCACTTCTACCCAAAAAGTACAGTGCAGTTTCCCATGTCAGTCATCCTTGGTAGATGTTGAGCCCCCTGTAGATGAGCAGACGAATCCGGGAGAACAGTGAACAGCAGCATCACCCCGGGGAGCTGGGACAGTACCCAGTGGTCACTGTGGCCATGTCCCTCTGTCCCACACTGGCCAGCCATTCCCGATCACAAGGAAGGACAGTCCCAACAGCACAGCACCGAGGGGTGAAGACCGCCGTGGACCCACAAGATTCATCTCCGATGACTTGACTTCCAAACCACAAGGATTCCAGCACCAAGGCTGTTCCTCCTGCCCTCATTTCTGGCAGCTTCCTAGGCCCAGTGCACCAGCATCCCTTAATCACCCACTTCCCAGTGAATCTGACTCATTAGCCAGGTATGGCAGTCTTCCACGGCTAAGTGCTGCCTCCTCCAGCTCCCCTCCTGCCACTCCCTGCACCTTCCCTGTGCCTAGAAAATGCAAAGCTCCACCTTCAAGTTCCCCCCGCACCCCCTGCCCCCTCCAATTCCCCACACACACAGGCTAGCTTTCTCCCCATCCATGTCAGCAACAGAACTCCAACTCCCACCACCACGCTTCCTTCCATTTCCAGGAATCTCCTCAACATCTGTTTGTGTGCACACAGCTCTGCTCACATCCCATCACTGTACTGGTTCCTGGAGACCAGGTAACTGGTACTGTGTATCTCACAGGGCCAGGACTGTCCACAAAGGCAACGTGGGCAGAGGGAGGACAGCCACTGTGCACCAACAACCCACTCTGCAACCCATTCAGGGAAAAACCGACACAGAAAGGGCTCAGCCTGTGATCTGAAGTCCTTCCCTAGGGACCTCTCTTTACCACTGTTGTATTTTTCAAAGTGAACTTGATCCCAAAAGCAGATTAAGAAGCGCCTGGCAGAGGGAAGTGTCTCTGTAAAGCCAACAAAGCCAACCACCCTTATTTGCAGAAATCTGGAACCATTCCCAGGAAAACGAGAAGGATGTGCTGGTAAGATGGTCTGTCCCCTTGCCTGGGACACCAATGCACCCAGGGGGTTCTCTGCTGCCCAGAATGGCGCAGTCTAGTCACGGAGCTGTTGACAGGCATCCGTCAGCCCACACCCCTCACACGTACTGCTGCTGCTGCTGCTGCTCCTGGTGCTGGTCCTTGTTCTCCACGTCCTCCTGGAGAAGCCTCTTGTTCTGCTCTTTCAACCTTTGGTTTTGGCTCTGCAGGTGACGGTTTTCTCCCTCCAAGTTGCCCTTGAGGTGGGAAAGCAGCTAAAACACAGATGGACAATGTCTCAAACACCACACGCTCCCATGATTCCACTGCTGGTAATCTACTTCCAAAAGGAGAAAAAGGCCACGTGGACAAAGATGGCCATTTTGGTATTATCTACGTCAGCTGGCATGACCAATACGGCC